CATAACAACTTTTGATTTTCCATAATTTATACTCGAATTGCGAATCCAGAATTTCAATATTTGGAACCTTGTTTGTAGCTTCAGACAATTGCCTTGGCATGTAGCCTTGCATTCCCAACTTGGTTTCTGCTGTTGGAAAAATGTGCTCTAGCAATTTTTTTGTATTTTGAACAATCAGCATTGTAAATTCCTTGTTGGAAAACTTGGAAATCAGGATTTGGGAAATGCTGAGTACTTAATAAATGCTTTGCTAAGTACTTAACCAAAATCATAAACAGTTAGCAAATGGGCTAGTAAATAGTTATTTTCTGATTATGAAATCTTTAACTTATACTTTATTCAACACTTATAATTTGGCTAAAACCTTAGCTAACCTCTCTAACCCACTATAAAATTTAACAACCCCCCGGCTCATCCAAGTAGGGACTTGTATCTGACACCCAAGCTCAGTGCCTACCCAGATGCTCCGATCCCAGCAGAGCCAAAGAGAGGAAGGGCCCTGAAAATGGCGCAGACATGTTTGAAGAGACAGGGCCTCCAGATTCTGATATGGAGCCAGAGTGGCAAGCCTTGCACTTTGCGCTGCGCTGCCGCTCAAGACCCGCCTCATGCCTGAGTGAAGTTGAGGTCGCAGTGAAACGAATTTATTTTCAACTCCGCGCCGACGGGTTTCCAATCGCAAGAGCTCATTCAGGTCAAGCTCGGGAAAGACATGGAAAGCAATGGAAAGACATGGAAAGACGCTGAGGTCATGGCTTTTTGCTCACTCCAAGCCCCACAAACCAATGCACGCGCTGCAGCGGGGCTGCCATTGTACCGGGTTGCTTTCCAGCGTGCTCAACAAAGCTTTTCTCAAGGCTTGAGAGTGCACCTCCCCAGTAGGGGCCAGCTTCAAGAGACCTTCCGCAACAGGGAGGAGCTCCACCGACAAGACCACTCCTGACGGCCTGCTTAGGGACTCGTAGGTTCGGATTTTGCGGACAATCCCCTGACCGTCAGCGCTGTGCCCGGTGCTTGGGACGCTCCTTAAGCCAAGAGCAAGGGTTTAAAGCGAAAATCCGCATAAAATGTTGCTAAACACAACATGGAAATCAATATGGTAATATGGGCACGTACTTTGGAATAAATACAAACCACCCGAAAACCTATAAAGCCCATATTGACATAATCAGTATATGAATGCAATTCCGCTATCAAGAAGAAAACTACGGGTAGGTGTTGGCTTAAACCCATAATTGCAGCTCACGGAAGGAGAGCCGACTGTTATAATCACTATGATGCAAGTAGCGCTGCTGCCAACCCGGCCTTCTGACTCACGAGGCATGGCGACCAGGGATGAAGGTGACTCTATGTAACGCCTACTACGGAAGGTGGCCTGTCATCCCGTTGAACATCCACCGGATTTGCTGGAAGGATGAACGAGCATGCTCTGATTGATGACATCGGTGATGCAGAGCAAACGCGCTGGAAGTGGCGTCGCTTCCGAGCCATGCGGATGGTGCTGAGGATGCTGCGCGGTTGCTATTTGAATCATGTGACACCAAAGAAGCGACTTCGACGCAAAGGAGATACTAGCAGGGCGTCAGGACGTGGTCCGGAATTTTTTTGCATTGGGATCTGAACAAGTAGATGGCCAGGTATGGCACTTGTCGACATTCGACGCATCTTCGCTTAAATGCTCGTCACTCATGGCAGGTTCGTTGTCACACGATATATATTCTCAGCCACACATGGAATTTCTCGAAAAGCGATACGCGCACTCATGTGACCCAGTCTTCCCAAACTCCTAATGCCAAGCACGTTGCTTAAAATTTGCTGCCAGGCCAAGCCACGCCATGGCTGTGCGGAAACTGAATGAGGAAAATGGCCCTTCGTCGCCATGAGCCCGAAGAAGCATGTCGTCAGGTCCTGGTGATTGTCTTTAAGGTGTCCCGTGGGAGAGCAAATGGGATATTTGCGCATTGATGCCAGCAACTTTCTTGCAATGACAAACGCGGAGGGGGTGATCATGGAGACGTTCAGGTTGGTTGAAGATCACGGCTAACCGCTTCCGCCCGCCTGTACCAAGTTGAGCTGCAGCGCTGGAAGGACAATCCCCACCGTCGCAGGACAGCATCAAAGTGACCTCAACCATCACGTGCCACCGGCAGTGGTCATCAACCGCAACAGAAGCAGTGGCAGGCAAATTGGGGCAAGCAAGGACGATGGCATGGACGCTTGTGACATCATTGCTGAAGTATCTATGGTGCGGTGCGGTTCCATCTCACGTGAAGGAGCAGGCACAAGGCTACATCGTTGCAGTCACGTTTGGCGAGGTTCTCTGAGTAAAGTGACTTGTTTCTAACAGATAGGAACCGTGACTGCATTGTCCCATAGCCATAGCGCCATCAATCTCCTTGCAGTAGGGATGTGCGCGCGTCGACACGACCAATTCAGGACTATGAAGCTTTGGCGTGTTGAGCCTTCTCGGCTCGCGTGTTCACTCACGCCAGCATGCGCGGGAGTGTGAAGAGACATGCAGCGACAGTTATGCATGTATATATGTATGTACATTATGCCCACGGCTGTAGGCGCGCAACGCTGCAGCCGTAATTGTGTAATGCCATGCTCCAAAATCACACGTAACGCGTGATAATCTTCGTTGGGCTTTGGTTCAAGTATCGGCCAGTAACTGCATAGCGCACCTGGCATAGCAGTCCCCAAAAGCCGTAAGCGTCAGTCCTCTTCCGGAGTTTCAGCGCAACAAGAAACAACAGGATGCCACATACAATACTTAAGTGTGAGTATGACTAGGTTTCATGGCAGGAAGCAAAGGGGACCACATACAATCCCTAGGTATAACGGTTCCGGACTGCGCCACACATAACACTGACGTGTGATTCTTCCAGAATTTCACGGAAGCAGGAGGCAACACGGCCCACATAAAATATTCAGGTACAAGTATTGCAAAGTTTCAGGGTAGCACGAAGCGACAAGGCCCACATGATATTTACAGTAGGTATGATTGTCAACTTTTGTTTGTCAGTGGGTCGCCTACAACACCAAAAAAACTATCCTACAACACCTTGCGTTGGAAGCCTGCGCGGCTCGAGTTGCCCACAACGAAACAAGAAAACTGCATGACTGGCATGACCATCCTATTAGAGAGGCATGAGATCCAGTCGTGAAATCATATCCCACAATTGCGGCTGCCGATCCGCTGTTATTGGCTCTTGTATCAACTGACTTGGTTGTGGTATCCGCCAAAGGCTTGTAGCATCCTTAATCTTGGGCATTTGCGGATGTGCTGCTTGCGGGCACCACTTCAAGAAAACGTTTGGCGACGTAGGCTTCAGGAGGGGAATTCTCCGGGAGATAATGGAGAAATCTGTCCAAGCACTTAACCCAGCAAAAGATAGTTTCGGGATTCTGTTGGAGATTTTCCATTTTTTTTCCAGGAAGATTCCCATCCCCATGGTCCCTCGGCTAGGCCCTCTCTATGTTGGTAGTATGGCTATACTGCTGCAATTGTACATATGCCGTTTGTTTGTAGTCTTGCCCTGAGCTGGTGCATAAACAACGGCGGCTGGGATTGTAAAAATTCTTCCTGTTCCCGAAGCCTTGCACTGCACTTGACTTGGTTGACTCTATTGGGCGCAGCGCTTGTTCGCTACCAGTCCAACGAATACAAAATTCCTGCTTTCCCCATCGGAACAGTACTTTTGTGGTTGGGAAAATTAATGTCGGACCCGCTTATGCTCGGGCACTCGCTTTAATGTCAAGTTCCGGGGGCTTATTCAGTTTTTGGGATATGTTTGGGGACCCGGGTTAATGTCAAGTTTTGGGGGCAGAATTCGAAATTTTAGGTCTCAAAAGATAGAAAAAAGTGTTAAATGGTTATGATTGGATTACGTATTTGCTTTCAAGCTCTGAACAGCTCAGGGGTTAGCTTAAGGGTACCCAAGTCCTAGAACCTTACTATTTCTTTACTAATACTAATACTAGTACTGATACTAATAATGATAGGATTCAATTCAAACCCCTCAAGCAGTTTTTGACGCGTAAACTGTTTGGGGGGGAATACACACTAAAGCGAGTGCAACATTAAAACCTTTGAAACATCTTAGTATTTTTTCTTGTGACAAATCGACACGCGAACAATCATGTTCAGCATGCTCGCAATTATTCGAGGATTGCGCCGTGCAGCAAACAAACAATGCAGTTTGCCAGTTTACCGCTTAGATTTGTGGCTTGAGATTATGTCATTGCCCATGAAAGGGGTGCGGGTGTTCTCTCTCCCTCTCTCTCCCTTTTCCTTTCGAAGGACAAAAGAGCCATCAACCGTTTTCCTGCTGCGATGTTCGCGTGCGGGGCCGTTCAAGATCCCAAGATATCCAAGCACGCAATTTTCCGGCTTTGAAGGTGGCAAGTCATGTACAAGGGTCAGGCTCGGGTCAATTTCCCCCAATTATGTTGTTCAGCAACCTGCATCTCAGAACGTCTTCCATGAGAAGCCTGTCTTCATTTGCTTCCCTGAAAATGTGCCATTGCATTGGTCAACGAGCCTTGGCTGTTTCTCGTGGGCTTCTGGCCTGCATGGTTTGAGAGCCAAGTTCGTGCATGAATGAGGACTTTGCCCATCACGGCTGCAGAGCTCAGCGACGATGACTGCCTCGAGATCACTGCCGGGGACATGAGACTTCACGGGAGAAAGCAGAGCCTCCCCTGCTAAGGTCATGATGGCAGAGAATCCGATGATCTCTCTGGTCCTCTACTACTTCAGCGCAGATTTGAAGACCACAGTGTTCGCAGAGGCACTGGAGGCGCACCGCTCCGAAGAGGCAGGCACTTGCTCTTCACAAGGATATCCTGAACCGTTTGCCGCACATTGAGTACCGCTGCCTTTCATCGTGCGCCTTTCGTTTCCAACAGAATTCTGCTGGTTCACAACGGTCTTGCCTGGCATGCCTGGTCCTGGAGAGGTACTCCCTGGTGAAAACTCACGGCGCGGGCGCGGAGAGCCCGCCAAACTGACAATTTGGCAAAACGGCAAAACGAGGAGGCTTGGTGCGAGGCTCCGAGGTGGCAGCCGCAGCAGCCGCAGCAGCCGCAGCAGCCGCAGAGCCGCTCAGCTGCTCAGCTGCTCAGCTGCTCCACTGCTCGGTGGCGGCCCACGGTCCAGGAAGCAGAGAGGAAGCTTTGCTTTGCTCTCCCTTTAAGGGAGGCAAAGTGAACGCATAGTCGCATGAATTAATTCATGGAGCTGGTCTCCTGACTAGTTTCACGGTCTCACGTTAACTCCTTCACAGCCACTGCGGTTGGTAACATTGAGCGAGCTGCTGGATTAGTGCGATTTGTTTTCGTAATCTGAGCTAGGTGCCAAGGAATTTGCCGATCCCGCGGCCATCTTCAAGGGAGTGAGTGGGTGCTCCGGTGCTCCGGCCTTTGCGCCGTCTTCCTGTAGCGTGATGGCCGGCGCCGTCAGCCTTCAGCCTTCAGCCTTGAGCCTGGAGGGATGAGAGATGAGCTGAGGCAGAGCACCTGCACTATGGAGACCTCTCCGGGCCCGGCTCCCAAAACTTCCACTTTCTGAGACTTTTCTGAGCCTGACTCTTGACGTGTGCAAGGTCTCTCGGTGCAGCAGGGGAAGAACGCCGCTTGGCTGAAAGGGCGTCGAAGGGGCACTGAAAGTTGTTGAGACAGCTGCACATCTGACAAACATTTTAGTGGGAAGTGCTGAGGGGAAGCGTTTAGCGGGTCCAACATCCATGTTCCCTCCGATGCGGACATTGTTGCGGGTGCCGCCGATGACATGGCACGTGCCCGGTGCCACACCTGAAAGATGAGAAAGATGAGGGAGTTTTCAGTTTTTCAGTATGATTCCATAGGCAGCAGCACGAAGATGCCGTGAGAGCTTTTGAGCAGAAGCGCACCCAGCGCGAGCGGTGGGCTTAAGTCAGCCAAGCCAGAAAAGCTGTGTGCCGCCCTGCCAAGCCGTTCCGAGCCGCCTGTGAGGCTGGCTGTGCCCACCGGCGATGCACAAGTCAAGGCGAAGCTCCGGGAGTTTGGTGAGCCAGTCGGTGCCCCAGTGCCCCGCTTCAGGATGGCTATAATCTTCATGGAGAATCTGTGGGCATTAAATGTTGCTGCAGGTTGCACACCACGTATCAAGAATTCAGATCCTCACCGTAGTTCTTGCCGTATATTGGGAAGACCGGTTACTGGGGGGGGCTTGGGAATTCTAAGCATAAAAAACATGCGCTCAGAGCTTCCATGTTTTGCAAACAAGACCGATTCTCCTGCTCGGATGACGGCATGCGCGGATTCCCCTAGAAGTAGCTTAGCGGGTCCCACAATTCTCCTCCCCATTTTGGGAACAGTAGTTCAAATTCACTCTCCCAACATGGCGAGGGTACGTTACTGAAGCAGCTAGGCATGTACCACGTAGTTCAAATTTGTTAACTTTGATTGATCTTATCTTCAGTAGTGGAGCTGAACGTTTCCCCGCACAGCCGAAACTCAAACACTTCCAGAAAGGAAAGCAAGGGTCTTAATTCAATGCTGCACCCTCTTTAGTATGGGGTGCCCCCCCAAACAATTTAGCGCATCCTGAATTCGAATTGGTTGAGGGGTCGAGCTGAATTGTATTAGTAGTATTAGTATAGTATTAGTATCTGACCTATCTGATGAAGAGTAATTACAACTTAAAACTAAATGTGTTGTGTTTTCGAACCCAAGAAAATACCACTTTGGCCCCCAAAAGTTAATGATTATTAAAGAGGGTACCTAAAACCATTCCCTCTCCTGAATAAGCCCCCCAAAACTTGACATTAAAGAGGGGGCCCGAAAAAAACAGGGTGCAACATTAGCCATCGCCCACCCACTCACAAACGATATTTCTAGATTTGCGCTTTCACTTGATTGAAGCTGATGAAGCAATGTCTGCAAAGTCAAGGGGACTGTGGGTTGGAGTTTCAGCTGGGCTTAGAGGGCTGAGAGGCAATGAGCCTCAGCAGACATTCTGGGCTCCTTGTCTCTATCCAGCTTTCGGCGCATCCCTTTTCGTGTAGCGTGCTTGCTTGGCGACGGTTTCTTTGTGGATGCGTCGTTTGGTTTGAAGCATCTGTGGTTTTCTTCATCTGGCAATACGAACTCTCTCATGATGCAGGCCTTAGGGCGCTCGGTCAAAACTGAACGCCGCGCCTTGTCCTAGCTGCGGATTCCTTGACACATGTGTGTATCACTGGGTTGAGTTGAGTTCCGTGGGTTGCCGCATTTGTGTTCAACGCACAGCATCCTACCATCTGAGTCGGGCTAAAGTCATCGCGAGAACAGTTTCCCATCTTATCAATTGCCAAACCCCCAGCCGTTTGTCGTCTTGCGGGGCAGTACTCCATAGGTTGCATGTCTTCCACTTTTTTTGCAGCCTGATCAGCGCAAAGAGCTCTGGCGACAATTGCATGGACAGCATGATAGTGCTGCTGGCCAAGTTGCATGAACAAATGGAACAAGCCCTGATCAACAAGTGATCAGTGAGCATTTGGCCTTTTCACTGTAATTGAATCCATAAGCGCTTTGCCTGAGGCTTGCATCTTCGGTGAGGGCCCCTACGAGCGGCGAGACCGTCTGCGAACCATTATGGCCGGCCGCCTGCTCCCTAGAAAGGTGAATTTGGGTGCATGCAGGCCTGCAGGCACCTCTTAGAATTTTGAGGTACGGCTCCAACCTTGGATGCAAAGAGGCAAGAGTCCACCGGAGATGAGGCAAGCGGGGAAGGCCAAAGGAGCTGACAGATGGACGCATCTCTTTGAACAGGACCTTTTCTACACTGAAGGGGTTGAGGAGCTTCTGGAGGCACGTGTGAAGATCGCCGAGTGGCCGGCCACTGAGAGAAGCAGATACATAGAGTATGATAGGGTGAGAGACTTTGCTTTGCACCTTGCTTTGCACCTTGCTTTGCAGTGCTTTGCACGGGCGCAGTCTGTACATTGTACATGCTGTTTGCGAAGAGACAACTGGCACGTCTTGTAGGCTGTATGAGAGAAGAGGATTGCTACAGAGAGCACCACTGTTTTGCCGCACATACAGCAACAGTAGAAATTTCATGGCAGCCTGTTCCAAAATGAGGAGACGCTGAAAACTTAGTTTTTGGCGCCAACTTGATGAAGTAGGAGTGGTTCCCAAAGTTAAGCAATCCGAAGCAAGGCCTCTGCTGAGGAATCTTCGGCAGGGTTTTTGGAAAGAACAAGGGGCTGCAGGGCGCAGGGCATGACCCCAGTCTTGCAATTAACACCGAAAATGCAGTTTTCTGCGTTTCCCGTGCTCCTCTGTGAGGCTTGAGTCCAGGTTTTGCCGCGACGTACAAGCTGAGAGAGCGGTGCGGAGGGGAACACATACTTCATGTGATGACTGCATGACACAACAACCAATATGTGCAATGTCTGTGCCCCTGAAATCAGGGGGACCCCGGGCATTTCCTGGTGTGGACTGAATGCGTGGCTGCTTGGAAGGCCTACTACACAAAATGCTCCTGGGACAGTGATGCTCGAGCACGGAAACGTAGTTCTGTGATGATCCGCAGAAGAGTATGCGCACATGTATCCACATGTACGGCTTCAGCACTCGCGGTAGTTGAATGTCCCTCAAGTGAGTGATGAGAGCGGGGTAGGAAGCCCACAAGCAAACAGCTTCATGGCCGTGAAGGAGGCCGCCTGGCGACACAGGTGCCTAGCGATGCGCAGCATATATGTGTTGGTAGCCCTGGTGCCCCGCCTGGGGCATCGCCGCTGCTCTTCTTTTTGGCACTCGAGCTCACACAAGTTCCTGCGGAAGTCTGCTCCTGACAGGCTTGCGTTGACACTCCCCTCTCTTTCTCAAAGAAAAGAAAGTGAGTCAAAACGGGAGCATCAACTCAGCACAAAAGTTTCAGGGAACATACACAGCCCCGGATGGCCTCTTTCAGGCTTTCATCTGGCGGGCTTCCGAAGTTCCCGGATAGCTTGGCAACTTGCTGGAACTGTTCCACTGGATGGCTTTCAGGTAGTCAGCAAAGTCTTGGACTTTGCCACCCTTGGAACGATTATCCAACAGCCACTGCAAGTACTCGGTTGTGGCCTTCTCTGTCTCCTCAGCCAACTCACGGTATGTGAGCTTACGGTCTTTGACTTTGGGCAGAGTACAGATGGTTTTGCCCCACATCTCTACAGAGCAAATTCCCTCAGGCAACTTGATCACTGGTGCAGCCGTCTGTGGTGTTGCTTTGCCACCCTTGGACTCCACGGTCACATAGCCAGCTCCCTTCGGGCCGTGCTCGAGGACCTCGTAGGCACTCAACTCATCGCTGGGCTTCACGCGCTTGGAAGCATCAGAAATAGAGCCGCTAGCCATAGGAGCCTCCTCCTCCGCGAGGATGGCGGGATTCAAGATGCGGATGTGACCTTCACTGGCCAAATGATGGAGCACAGGGCGGATCTCACCGAACTTGGGGGTCTGCACCTTTGGAAAAGAAGCCATGACCACTAGCTCACGCGTTGAGCGCAGGAAGTGAGCAACACTACACAAACTTTAGAAGCTGGAAAAGGCTCTCCACGGAGATGCTGCTGTGCGATACTGAAAGGATAGGCTCCCATGCTAAACCCTTTCGAGAACAAACCCCAGAGAACTAGACCCTGAACAACAGAACCAACAACAGAGCAAACAACAGAACAAGAACGGCAGGCCAACCCCTAGCCTACGGACAAAGGAAACTCGTGCTTAGCTCTAGGGCGCGCCCCTAGAGTTGCGCAGTCTGTCCCTAACGGCCTTCTTCATGCTGAGCACCTCGGCTTCTGAAGACAACTGGTATCTACCTAGCTCCAAGATGGCACGCAGAAGGTCGGCTGGGTCAGCCTTATCTTTTGTGAGAGCATCGCAGACCATGAGTTCAGTCGGACGCCAGCGGACCTGCAGGCCTGCCCGCTCAATGCTTTGCTTGATGATTGCCATGTCTACACATACCCTTTTATCCTGAACCCCCGAAAGAGAGGAAACCGATTTGAGGTGGTCGTACAGACTCTTGCAATCGGTGACCCCAACTATAGGCGTAGCTTGGAGTTGCTCCCTACACTGGCGGAGGTCAAAGGCACCGGAGCGGGCCTCAGCCAACAGTAAGGCCATCCACTCAGCGACGGCTGATCCGCTTGAGAAAACTTGGGCCTCGCCTCCCAGAGTCGAGGGCACAACACGATGCAGTCTGAAGGACTTCCAATGGAAAGGACTCCATGACACCGACTTATTATCGATGAGGCTGCGGTTAGCGAAGGCTAAGATGTACCCCCCCTGGGTCATCTAGGTCGATGCTACGGACCTTGGTCTCTACTTCGCGGAACTGCCTAGCACGCTGCGCAAGCTGGTTCGCATAAAGAAGATCACTCACCTGAACTGCAAGGTCTGGTCTTGTCTGGTTTGCCAACCAGTTGGCAGCGCCGTTGAGGCCACGCAGGGAGGAAACTTCTCGTGCGGTAGCTGGCGAGTTCTTTTGGGCAGCACGAGCTTTTGATAGGTTTATGGGACGCAGATGCTGGGAGTACTCCTTCTGGCTATAGGTGATTTCGTAGGTACGGGGGTCTTGGGAATAGTAGACTCCACAAAACTCTCCTGCCCCTACTCTCCACTTCCTAGAGGGGAACCTAGCCTTAAGGCGCGCGATGGCCTTCACACGCTTCGCCCTCTTCTCCAGTGATGGAGTCGTCTACGTGTGCCCCTAGGACTCCGCGCAACTCCTTCGTCTCTGGCTGGCGGAAGAAGTAGACACAGCCATCAAACTGTGATCTTTCAAAGCCTACGGCGCGGGCTTCTGCATCAAACGCTTCGTACCGCCAAAAGGGACTGTCATTCAGGCCATATACGTTGCCTGTGATTTCAATAACATCATTGGGATCCAGGCCTTCCCTCTGCAAGCGTTTTTGCAAGAACCCGGCTAGGAGAACCTCAACCTCAGTGGCGTGAGGATTGCGTTTACGACAATCCTCCATTGCGGCTTGGCAAAAGAGAGCCTCTACCGGATCTTCGCGAGTGCTGAACTCCTTAAGGGTGTCTGGTGAAGAACTGGCAGCTCTCTTGAACGCTGGCTCTCTTGGACTGGGAACATCAGGCTCTCGCGATGGTCCAGTGGAGGGCGCGGACGCCGCACCTTCCCCGAAAATACGGGGCAGGACTTCATCCAGCATCTTGGACAGATCATCCTGCCGAAGCTCGGCAGGACGAACCAGCTCTAGCTCACTTGGTCGGCTCTTAGCTCGCGCTCTACTCCGGACTGGGCCGTAGTACCCTGGCTCAGCAGAATCACCTACTTTGACACCAGGTTCTGTCCGAGCTGACTGCCTTCCCATAACTGCGCTGCTGTTTGACCTGCTGCTTCTGGCGCGGGAACCGCGGTAGCAGGAGGAAGTGAAGGGTCCACCAGCTGGTTCTGTGGAAACTTACCACGGTCTAGTAGCTGGCGCATCCCAAGGAGATGTCGGCTCTCCGCGTCCAGAATTTCCGGCGGCGGCTGTTCTTCTGACGTCGCCGGCCGAAGTTGCTCTGGCGCGCATCTCAGTATTGAACGCCGATGTGCGACGATGACATTACGTCCGACCTTTCCTAAAACCAGAGCCGGCCCATACCAGCGGCACACCCGCGCTATTTTACCCTTCTCTAATTTCTGAGAGCGCCAGTAGGCAACCCACTGCCCGGATTCAAAGTCACGGCGCAAACGAGGACGAGCACGGAGGGCCTCACGCAAGGCCTTGCAGTCCTGTGTCCACGGCTGGCTCGGTGCACACGGCATCATTGGCTATGATAGAGGGGCTATCTTGCAGGAGATCTGAGGGAATGCGTGGATTGCGGCCGAACACAAACTGACATGGTGACACACCGTGTTGATTGAGCATGGCGTTTTTTAGAGGCCACGGCCTGCGTGAGACATTCACGCCATTGTTCTTCATTATCCGGCTGGATTTCTGCTGCTAGAACCTTGTCTAAAACGGTGGCCAGGAGGCCACCGTGACGCTCAACCTTGCCAATTTGCCAGTGCGCCTCTGCGGCGGTATGACACACACGGGAGCCTTCATTCTCACATGGTTGGCACAGGGCTTCGCTGAGGTTAGGCTGAGAGGGGTCAAGCACAATGAGGTTGGGAAACCTTGCCCACGCCAACCAGAACTGTGAGTATGCCTGGCGTAAGGTGACACCGGTCTCACGGCCAGGTAGGGGAATGACTTGCTGAAATGAACTACCATAATCAACAATATTCAGACAGGGAACCTTTTCACCCAACTTCCAACCCTGAGAATATTTGACATCCATCCCCGCCCGGTCATTGAAACATTCGGCATGTGCTGGCTGGGCTGGCGCCGAAAATCTTGTTTACCTCCATTCCTGAGATCAGTGCTTTGTTCTATGACCCACCAGGTGCCCTGTCAGAAGATGCAGGAAACTCTGAAGGGGTAGTCCTTAATCTTATAGGTAGGTTCAGGGGTCCTAAGAGCTTTAGCTCTATGGGTAACCTGAGCCTGACCACTTAGGAAAGGAAACCATCCCTTCTTGTGAACTGCGGTAGAATCTAGAAACTGTAGAAGGGCCTCATCTACAACAGGTCTCCATGCATACTCTGTAACCTTACGTGTAGAGAGTGCATGAGCAATGTCGGGGTAATCTTCAACGGACCTTTCCTCCGTTGGCCAGAGGTAACTGACGGATCCTTCACTACGCAGGACTTAAGGAAGTGACTAAAGTCGGCTTCCTCTTCGGTGGAAGAGCCTGCCTCAATTTCAGCCGCAAGGCCGGCCGAGTTGGGCTGGTCTTCAACTTTAGGTTCTCGCCAGGCTCCTTCATAGCAGACGTAGGTACACCTATC